ACAGTGACTTTAATGCTGTCTCTGTTTCTAATTTTGGATACCTGTCTCATGAATTTCATGGAAAGAGACCTGTCAGAAATAAAGTGGAGAAACGAATGAAGGAAACTGAACAGGAGGGAGTGAGTATCAGTCCAAATGTGGTCATGAGCTCTTATTTCTAATACCAGCCGGAAGGTCATGGGTTCAAATCCCGATGAAGTAACTGGATTTTTTTCAGTTGACCTAATCCTTCCAGCTGCACTATGGCCCTGGGGTCAACTGAGCCTCTAATAGAAATGAGTACCAGGAATATTCTTGGGGGTAAAGGTCGACCGGCGCATAGAGCTGACACTCTTGCCGTCATCTTGAGCCGATTCTCTTTAAAATGTGGGAACCTCAACATCTCACAACCCTATGGCCCTCCATGGCTTGTCACAGGGATACATTTACTTTATTTTAGTATATTGTAGCACCCTGCTGCACTTCATTTTGTACCAAATTGTTTCACAGTCTCATGTGCAGCACGTCTTTCCGTAAAACTTTCTAAAAGTTATCCACTTACATGTTTCAACCTATAAAGTCATCATCAGGTGTTTTTTTTTTTTAATTATAAATGAGGAAACTGCTGTGCTTCTATATTGTGGTTGTTGGTCATCACTATGCAGTCCCTTCTATGCGTGCGTATATAGGAAGTGGCGCGTTCTGCCTGTTGTGTTATGCTGCATGTTCCCCTTGAACTTCGTAACACAACAGACAGAACAGCACGCCACTTCCTGTATACACGCGCATAGAAGGGACCACATAGTGATGACCAACAACCACAATATAGAAGCACAGAAGTTTCTTCATTTATAATTTAAAAAAACACCTGATGATGACCTTATAGGTCAAAACATGTACTGAATAACTTCCAGAAAGTTCAATAGAAAGACGTGCTGCACATGAGACTGTGAAACCATCTGATGCTGTTTCTAAATGGTGCTCCATAAAAAGTAAAAAAGTAAAAGTAAAGCTATCCCTGTAACAGACCGTGAAGGCCCATAGGGTTGTGAGTTGTTAAGGGTCCCACATTACCTTGGCAGTCGGCTCAAAGGTGGTGGTAAGGTTGTGAGCCTTACATGCCTGCCGTGCTTCACTCCCCAGGAAAATCATTTAATTAAGTCCTGGTACTCATTTCTGCTAGAGGCTGAGTAAACCCCAGGGCCTAGTGCAGCCGGAAGGATTAGGTCAATTGAAAATGGTGCTCCATAAGGAAGCAAATTTTAGTTACTGTTACATGTCCATGATTCCACATAGCAGATAGATACCCATCCGCACTTTTTGTGCATTCATTTTCTGCTGACTACAAACATACACAGTAGCTTCAGTCCTGGGACAGAAGCGAATACTGCAACTTTGTGACAAGTCAGATGGAGCCTGCTCATAAAACACACAGCATATTTGTTCAGTTGTCATTAGGCTAGTAGACATAGACACAGACCACGGGTTGGAAATTGGGAGAAATTGATGACTTCAAGCAGCAGACTAACTTAAAATTTGGCCAGCTGTTAGGATAATCAGTGACATGCAGATATTACAGAATGTTTAAGGGCAAACAGACTGTGCCCCATCTGATGATGATTATTTTTTTTTTTTTTTGTTTCCAGTTGATGAAACAGATGAACTCAACAGACACCCACTCAGAACACTTAGCCTCTTGCATCAGAAGCAGAAAGAAATGCAGTCTCCATTCGTGGTCCTTAGTGGCGGTAAACAACCATGAGTATGCCTTTTGTCTGCACTCATTGAAAAGAACAACCAGTTCTAATTAAAAAAAATTGTATTCATTAACTGACAGACTTAGACACGAGAACACAGATTACTAGATGAAACCAATGAACTAAGTTCAAAATTTGTCTAATCTTGACATTGGAAATAACAGTAATTCATAGCTTTAACTTAAAGGCTGAGTAGATGGGAAGCCATATAGTAATGTCGATAATGTCATATGGTGATTATACTGCTACAAAGTAAATATTTGTTTTTCTCTGAGCATGTCACTTGTCTTGTTATAATTTGTAGACTGTAAACTGTAAAGTGTCATTTTAATGATGGATTGATTAATAAGACTTTCCCCCTTGGTACTTTGAAGCTTTACTAAACATTTCTGTTTTTGATGCAGAATATGAAATTTCATTTTCAAAAAGAAAACCACCATGTGAGGTTTTTGTGAGATCTTCAATTTTAACATGAGCATTACTACATTTTCTTTATTTCTTTCTTTTTCAGGGCAACCATCTCAGAAACAAGACTGCAAATTCTTCATGAAATATGCTGGCACCAACTCTGAACTTTGGCGTGGACTTATGTTTTTATTGTTCCTTACTGTCTTTATTGTTCCTTACTGTCTGGAATATCATCTCTATTTTTAAATAAGACACAGCTTGCAGCTGCCGACAGTGCATAAGTGTACTGGAAGGAAGGCCACAGAGTTTATGTCACATTAAAATGAGTACAGTGGTTCTCCTGCTGGTACCTGGAAGCTGAAAAGTACAATTTCTAGTGATTAGTTGCTTGCTTATAGGACTTGAGCCAGATGAACAGCCTCTAAGCTAAATCAGACATTAATCAGTAATTACATTTGGCCATTCTTGATTGCAATAGCAATATTGTATCCTTCCAAGGGAAGAAAGAAACCCTTGTTCAGTTGTAGGCCAGTATGAAAAGCTGTAAAATTATACAAGCAACAGAATCAGAAGATGTACAGTCTACTGCAAATCATTGTAAAGCACCACTGATATATCACAGAAACATTTGTAATGGGTTATAAAAGTAACTTGGTTCATCCTGGTCTGTCACACTAGTAATGTATATAAGGTTTTTAACCACTGTCCAGTGTGATTGATAAAAATTGTGTTTAATTTTGCATCCTTTATATGTTTCAGTCAAAACGACCATCTTCAGAAGGATATTATTAGCACGTATGGAAACTACTGTTACGTGTCATACATATACATGTTATATCTATTTACTAATATTAAGATGTACATTGATTTGTTAAAACATCTAAAAATTATTACAATTAGTCTGTTTACAAAATAATGTTCAGTATTTGTTTTAAATTAGAACCAATTTGGTTTCTTGTCTGTACACTTTTGTAATAATTTTAGATGTTTTAACAAATCAATGTACATCTTAACCTTTAAGGTACGAACTTTTAAATTCCCGGGAGCCCCCTGCGGCCGGTATTTAAATGACCCTGATTAATTAAATTTGCAAACCGTCAGAAAAAAATCCATATTTTCCGTTCTATGCAACATCATCATCATCAGTAATCTGTCAGGCGACAGGTCCACAGTCTCTTCCAAAACAGTTTCTCCACTTAATGCGATCTTCTGTTTTTGGAAAGAGACTATCCAGGAAAAGTGATAATGTGGTAGTTTTTCCATTTGCTTTCCACATCGCAGTACAACAGCCGTTCAAACCACTCTGGTCACGCCTGTTGCTATACGAACTTGAACCATCTCGAGCATCATTTGCTCTGTGCATCAAGTCGCTGCTGATGACGCTGCTTCCGACATCAGTTTTTGGTGTCTCTCTTCGTCTGATGCCTACCCTTTGACCTGTCCAGCAAGGGAGGCCCTGCCAGTAGCTACGCTACCGCTGGTATAGCTCTCAGGGTCCTTGGCATACTCAAACCCCCTCACCACGATAAGGTGGAGACACCAAGAAATAGAAACTAAAAATAACCTGAAAGATAATAAATTTTTCTACATGTACACAGGAGAGCAATTTTTACAAATGAAAATTAACTGTGATTATTTTGTCATGAATTGCAAAATATAATCTTTATTATATATGTCATGAAATTCCAAAGGACTTACCCATTATTTATTCTTCAGCCTTGAATCATGGTGATATTGTAAATATAATCACACTATATACTCTTACAATAATATTTTGTTCAGACTATACACGAATTTGAACTGCGTCACTTCACAGTTTATGATAACTCACACTCGATGCGCGTGTACTACTTGTCGAAGCAGCCGAACAGACACAGCGCAGCGTGACACTTCATGTGCTTCTGCACTTCTTATTCTGAGAACAAATATGTCTTAGTTTCCCTTTGGTTGGCCAGTATTGTGAATATTTCACCTCCAGTCGCCTCAGTTGGGCCCCCTGATAAATTTGGCCCTCCCCTGAGAAACGCCACTGACCATGATATTCGGGTTGTGCGATTGAAGAATTATCTTGGGGGAGGGGGGTTTCTAGGAAAATCGAATAAATTATGTTGATTGACCAAGCGACACTCACCTGTTGGTAATATTCGCAAAATAGTGATGCAAAGTAAATATAATACTAGTCGAAAGGAGTGCCAGTCTGACACATAGTGAAAATCGCAGTGGCGAAGATGCCTTTACTCACAAAGTAACACTGGCTCAGTGGGTTTATACCTCTTCCAAGATGCAAAATAAAAATGATATATAAAGAAATACGTATATGACAGTCTGACACTGACTTCCTGACTGATAATACGCCACTGAAAACCAATCCTTGAATGCATCAGACTTCCTTGAAGGCTTTGCAAGCGCTCTTATGCAAGCACCGATAAATATTTCCTCATCAGTTCTCGAAACAAAGCTGGGCTATATTTGGCTGAGCACTTCATAAACAGTCATATCTAAACGTAAATAGTATCGAAACCAGTACTGTGAAAAATAATTTCTTTGTTCAGAGCTAAGGAATGAACCACTGACATGACCTCATGTAGGTTTGTTTTGGTTTCCAACCCAAGGTCAAACTGCCAGCACTCCCAAAGGGAGCATGTGTACACAGGTCAGTTGGCCAACTCCGGTTACTGCTTGCGACGTGTATACGTGACATTCGGCCGTTAAAGGTTAATATTAGTTAAATGATATAACATATATATTTATGACATGGTAACAGTAGTTTCCATAAGTGTTGATAATAACCTTCTGAAGATGGTCGTTGACTGGAACATGTAAAGGATGAAAAATTAAAAACAACTTTTATCAATCCCACTGGACGGTGGTTACAAATCTTATATGTGGTTATAAAGTCCTGTGTTTAATCCACATGCAGATGATCAAGAGTCTTCTGTAGGTATACGAAATCTCAAAAGCCACTTATACTTGGCCAATAATAATATCAGGTCATGAAACTGTGTAAGACTGATCTTAAGGCATCTTCTTGGAGGTGGTGATAATGATTTGAACCCAAAATAAATATATAAGTCAGTGCTGAACATTATCTGAAGTCTGAATTGTAATCCTGATGTGTTACTAGTCTTCACTTAAGTAGGTACACAGACAGACTCCAGGTGTTCCCAGACTTACATTTTTCTTGATATCAGTAATGTATAACTGTAAGTTGACATCCTCAGTCACATATATTCCAGCCACCTGATTATTTAAGACAGTTTCAATATGTTTTAGTCTTTGTTAATAGAAATTAACTTGAAGTCACACTGTGTTGTATTTTAGCGTCCTGTTGTACTGATTTTCGTCCATGACATGTATGCAGTGTTCGTCTTTTAGTGCACTCAATTTCACTTGTTATTTCACAACATGTTTTGGCACTATAGTGCCATCATCAGGTGCTCCATTTACGTTAATCTATTTCATTGCTTGCCATTATGTCATTGTAAAATTTAAAATTTTAAATACTTTTTAAATTTTACAATGACATAATGGCAAGCAATGAAATAGATTAACGTAAATGGAGCACCTGATGATGGCACTATAGTGCCAAAACATGTTGTGAAATAACAAGTGAAATTGAGTGCACTAAAAGACGGACACGGCATACATATCATTGAAGTCACACTATTACAAAAGTTGTTACATTTGTGTATTTCCTCATGAAATAGGGACTATAGTTTAAAACATGTACACCTACTCCATTAGGTGCATGCCGATTATGTAGTTCAGTTAGTGTGGTTACTTGCAAGGTTGGAATTGTGTGTGGAGTTGATTTCAGTTTGTAACATTCTCACTCAGAGCAGTCTGCTTATGGTAATTGATGGTCATTACTATCTGTCCTTACCATAGGTGATCAATTTTTCAGTAAATGGTTTTCAAACAAAAGGTATGACACACCTATCAAAAGAAACTGAAGATTTTGTTTATTAGTCAGTATCCTGTTGAGAAAGGTACAATAAAATAGTTTCACTTGGTGTAGTTTTTAAATGTATATCAGCTTTAGCAAAAATGATATAAAAATGTTTTAATTATATAATATATTTGAATGCACTAAAAGTTTCACTGTAAACTTGAGGTGGCCACGTGCAGTTGGAGCCCAGGCAGGGCCACTGAAGCGTCAGGCTGATAGCTTTAAATGGTTGCAATGATAGACTTGCCATTTCTTATTAATTTGTACAGATTTCCTAACAGACTCGCTACTGTGATGAAGACTTGTTCTGAGAATTGATTTCATTATGTAATGTAATTCATCTGCACTGATCACAGTTCAGTTTAATCAGTACAGCACAATTACTGTATGGTTGTAGTGTGTCAATATTTCTTGTTCATGAATGGAAGTACAGTCATCTACAAGCACCAGTGTTACATGAGATATTCATGGCAGTGATCATGAGGAAGTTGGAAGTGACGCTGTATAGGTGGGTAGGAGTCCACCAACATTTTGGAGGAACGTACTGTCACCTTCGTAAAGGTAGACTTCTACTGCATACATTCTGTCACATCTGCAATATTATTGAGGACAAGTCTTCTGAAATGTAATGCTCTGTAATCCATCTTCAGGATGGAAAATTGAAGCTGAAGGCATTGCGTTCCTCTGAAATGTCATTGAACTTCTACCAACATACACAGTATCATATCCCGTATCAGCCAAATGAAACTGCTGTTTGTGGATGATCTGATTTCATATTGTGAATTGAAACATCTGTACCTACGTAATCTGAATGTCTGATATCTGGAGTCATCCTAAAGATGGAGGCACACATTCCACCTAAACGTTAGTATCCACCTATCAGGCTGCACCTTGGTGTGTTTCGCCAGAACCCTGGTATCCGCCTGCCAGACTGCAACATTGTTATAGCACACAACGTCCCCACCAAGGAACTTGATGATTATGCAGCTTTCCAGTTTTGTCAGGAAAGTTACCTCAAGGACTTGTAGCTGAGATGGTGGAACACAAATACTTTTCATTTCCTTGCATACTGTTGTGTTATTACATACAATTCTTTATTGGACTCAGTCGTAATGCAACAGCATAACGGTCAAGGTTAAAATTACCTAGCTACATGTTTCAGCTTTTTAAAGCCATGGTCAGGCAAAGCACATGATTACTAATTGTGTCTGAATATAGTAATCATGTGTTTTGCCTGATGATGGCTTTGACCTTTAAGTGCCCCGTTTGTGCCAGTCGTGAGTAAGGTCATCGTGGCCAAATTACCCCGTTTTGGCCAGTCAGGCATTTAAACTCTGCTAGTGGAAGCGCACGCACACGCCGCTAGTAGAAGCGCATGCACAGTCCTAAATATTTATTTTTAAATGTAGTAATTACCAGACAGACTTGAGTAAAACCCTAATAGAGGAATTAAAATAATACCTAACTGAACAACAGCAAATAAAAATATACGTATGAGTTATGCCAAAACTTATCCATGATCCAGTAATTTTATTGCAGATTCTGCAGATAGGTACGTTAAAAATATATTGTAAAATTCGATGTACGGTACATACCTTTTTTGTTGTTACCTGCTCGATGTATATATAGGTTCAAATAAAACTACAGTATTCGATTTCACTACGAATGCACACAAAACAGATCACGCTCTGTATCTCAGCCACGATGCAGCTGTCTGTTCACACAAATAGAAGGGGCAGTAAGCTTTTGCAGCTCTAACTGAAGGTCTTAGCACTGAAGAAGGGAACCCCTCTAGCTTTCTTTTGAATAGCCATTCTTGTGACCTTCAGTCAAAGATTAAAAAATCCAAAGGGCGTAAGCAGTGCTAGCAGAAGACCAAATT